TGTGTGTGTGTGTGTGTGTGTGTGTGTGTGTGTGTGTGTGTGTGTGTAGTTTGAACCCAGGGTCTCAAACCAGATGCCCTACTACTGAGCTATGTCACCACCCCTTTAAAATGTTGTTATATATGTTATGCCAATGAGAGATTACAAATGCCTACTTGATGTTTTCAGAGAAACATTCTGGTGGACAAAGCAACTACCATTTGCTCTGCTTCCTAGAGGGTCAAGATATAGGGAAATAGAGGTTACAAGAACTAGCTTGAAGAAAGGGTGTTCTGCTTTGCACTTAAACATTTGTTCTAAGATCTTAGCTTTCTAACTGATTGTCAAGGTAACAAGTACACACCACAGGCCAAATAAAAGTTTATGTCATCACAAGAGGACATCAAATTGGTAATTGCTATCATTAATATACATATGCATCTTATGAGCAATCTTTACTTATATTCTACTCCCTTTCTCTTCTATTTCTGTTTGAACAGAAATTTATCATAAAAATTAACAACTGTGGCTGCCTCCAGGAGAAGAAATTACAGATATTAGAGGAAGTTTAATTTGTTCCGCACACTCTTTGATGTTGCTTGAAGTGGTTACCAAATTTCTGCTACATCTCAGTATTTATTAAAGTTTATATTTCCTTTTAAAATACATACTTATATGCATGTAATTTTATTACTAATTCAACAAAACAACTATTCTAAAGTTTTCTCTTTTAAATGAGTTTTTCATATTGCAGTTTCACCAGTTTTCAGAAAGAAAAAAGAATCAAAACAATAACTAAACTTAAGGCAGATTTTCAGACCAGAACTGGACAGAAGTGCAAGTGGTTTTTAAGAGGAAAATTCGGTTAAACCCCTTTGAACTGCTTATATCTAAAAGGCTGTTTTAAAACGGGATCTGAGAACGGTTTCTCAAGAAAGGCAGAGTAGAGAATCTCACAGTTTCAAAAGTAGAAATCAAAATTTGTTTTTATCTAGTCAGGCACACGGGTCCGGGATGGAGTTTATAGAAGAAAAGGGAACACAACTCAGTTCTTAGCTTTCTGGAGCAAGAATCCTCTCTGTCCTGCATGTTTTTTAGGCTTGGTTCAATGAGAAACTCCATGCAGTGAACAGATAATCTCCTTTTAATGAAGCTCAGAAGAAGAACTTCAGGAATCACGGACTTTAACCAACGGCCCACATTCACCCCGCCTGGTCAGGATACTCCTCACCTCACCACGTATTTTCACAGTCAGCTGTCAATGCAACCCTTTGTGTCCCATTCAGAATAAGAGCATATAAGAACCGCTCTCAGAGAAATTGAAATGATGACCGGAAGACGCGCGTGTGACGAAGTGACATTTGGCATGGACCCCAGCGAATGCCTGACCACATCGGGCTACTCTCAACTTTCCCAAGCCTGGCTCTACCCATCCTCTGCGCGGACACCTCCCCGTCTCGCTTCTTGCCATCCATCCAGCGCTCGGGGACCGCTAGCCGTCCCCTCGTGCTCGGGGAGCGGCCGGGACGCGCCCCCTCACCGCAGCCTCCTTCACCCCGCACCGCATCAGCCACCTCCCTCCCGCCACAAAGGCAGCAACGGAGCCGGAGTGACAGGCCTGTGGCCACAGGCGGCGAAATGAAGGAGCCAGGGACGGGACCGGGATGGGGTTTGTTTCCCGCTGGCACAGGCGCCTGCCCGGCCGCACGAGTCACTCCAGTCCCGCGCCTCCTCTCAGTTCCTCCAGAAGAAAGTCCGCGGCCCTGCGCAGGGAAGGTGTCCAGCCCACCAGAGGACAGGCCCTGCCCGCCACTGAGTCCCCTCGCCTACCGATCCCCGCGAGTCTCCGTAGCAGCTCACCTGGCCCCGGAGGGAGCAAGGGTAGAGGGCCAGGGTGGTCTCCACAGCCTCGGGCGGCTCCGTGCTGCACTCTGCTCCGAGGGGCTAGCGCCGCCGGTGGCTGGCGTCTCTGCGGCAGGGCGCGGGCTGCGCGCTCAGTTCCCGGGGGCGGAGCGAGGCGCCACCGCGGCCGGAGGCGGATTCCTCAGGTGCTGCCCCTCCTGCTCGCCCCCCTCCTCTCTTTCCCCTCCCGGCCTGAGTGCCCTGGTGGCCTTTTGGGCTTCCTCGCCTTCAACCCCTAGAGTGTCGGGGAGCACACGACGCCAAACACACGCCCACGTGCTGCGGAGACCTACATGCAGCCTTCACGCTTGGGTTTGAGAACTCTAGCGCGCAGATGATGTGTCGCCACTCCGGGATAGGGAAGTGGCAGTGTGCTGGGGGTCTTCTGGGAAGAAGGATTGCCCCCTAGTGCTGCTGAAGAGCGTGGTCAAGAAGCACAATTATTTTCTCTCAGGATCCTACTTTATTCAGAGTGCTCTGAAGTCACTGTGTGACTTCTTTGTCATCTAGTGACAAAGTTCCATTGCCTGGGCAATAGTCAGTCAAAAGCCTCTTGGCCTTTTGCATGAGATGGGGTTGTAGGGCGCAGATAAAACCAAACCCACCCCGGAGCTCCAAGCCGGAGCAGATTTCTGCACCTCTCCGATGGAGCTCCAAGACACTGGTCCTACTCTCCAGTCGTGGATCCCAGGACCCCAGGCTCCTACAGAGCCTCCCATAGACCACTGGGAAACTTCCCCCAGAGCAGCCACTTCCAGCTGGCCCTGGTCCTTATTGGTTGCTACAGGGATAAAAGTTCTGGAGGGATGCTGTGGCTGGATAGGGACAAATGTGCTCCAATTTTCACAATTGATGGCCTCTGGTATTCAAAAAAACCAGCTGCAGCTGGTTTTCTTGAACTGAAACTGCTGCCAGAGACATCTTTGACCACAGCTTCCAGCTGAAGCAGCTTCATGCTGGATGCAAAGCACAGGAAAGTAACTACAACATAGAATATACAGAGAGTTAGCAGTTTAATTTAATCATATTAAACAAGAAAACTCAATTTGTAACCACCTGAGAACTAACTGAGTATAGGTGTAGAAAGGGAAGTTAAGCAGTAACCTAAGGTCCAGGCTCATCTCATGTAAAAGTTCACACAAAGTTAAACAGAGAAAACCACTTTCAGTGACATACGTCTGATTCCAGCACTCAGGAGGCCGAGGCAAGATTGTGAGTTTCAGGCCAGCCTGGGCTATGTAGTGAGCTTGAGACTACCCTGTCTGCATAGCAAGTTACCTGTCTCAAAAACAAAAAGAAACAGGAAAATAAAAATAGCTAAGGCAGATGAGAAACTTTGGAAAAACACTGTCCATTTGAGCCTTTACAAGGCCTTTGGAATTGAGGAACACCATCCATCAACAATCTCAAAAGTACAATCACAGTACAGATTCCACTCAATTTAGTTCAAGGACTATTTGTTAGTGCTAAGCACCCTAGACTATGCAGATATCATAATAAGTATGGCAGAAGGACCTTGGTCTAACACAGGCTTTGGTATTCTTCAGTAGTTCAACAAATATTATTGAACTACTACTGAAAGCTGGCTTAATGCACTGATAGCACTAGGCTTCATCATGAAACAAAATGAGTCTTTGACAAGGTTAAAAGTTAGTGATAAAAGTGATAATATTAGGTCAAGTTAATTGACTCCGTCAGCATCCTGGGAATGGCTGATTGAGATGAAGCATTAGCTCCTAGAATAGAAAGACAGAATAGTAGTGGGGTGGGGTGGGCTAGAGAATTGGCTCAGCGGTTAAGAGAACTTGTTACTCTTTTGGAAGACACAGATTCAATCCCCAGCATCCACATGGTTGTACACAACCATCTGTAACTCCAGTTATGGGATATCTGCCCTCTCCTGTCTTTTGGGCACCAGACATACATATGTGGCACAGGCATATGTGCAGACAAACACATAAAATAAATAAGCCTTGAGAAAGAAATGAAAACTGTGAGCTTTGACTAGAGTATTTGCCCAGCATGTACATGTACAAGGCCCTGGGTTTCACACACCTAGCTCCAAAAACAGAGAATGCAGGGGCAATCTTTACATATTGAAAAGTAAATTTAAAAGGAAAAGAAAGAATTATACTGTAAACTATAAAACACTATTAAACTATTAAAAGAGAGAAAAATAAATGGAAAGACACCCTATGTTGCTAGATGTGAAGATTTACCATTGCTACAATAACAAGACTTTCCTACTTAGTCTACAGAGTCAATGTATCTCTATCAAAACCTCAGTTGCTTTCATAGAAACTGAAAAGTTGGTTCTATAATTCATAAGGAACATAGGGGACCCAGAAGAGTCAAAACAACCTTAGAAAAAGAACAAAGAGGATTATAGTGGTTTTAAATTTCATTACAAAGCAACAGGAAATAAAGGCCATCGTTGTGGCAAAAGGAGAGATATAGATCAACAGAACAGAATTAATCATCTAGAAACAAACCCACGCATGTGTGGTCAATTAGTTCTCAACAATGGTGTTGAAATAACGTGATGAAGAAACAATAGTCTCCTTAGCAAATGGTCCTGGATCAACTGGACACTCATACGCAGAAGGGTAAAGTTGGGCATCGCCCTTATAGTAGGTACAAAACTTAGTGCAAAGTGGATCACAGTCTTAAACGTGAGGGCTGGACTATAAAAATCTTTCTATAGAATCTTAACATATCACAAGAAGCATGAACACAAATGCTCATAATAGCAAGGCCCACCAGCAAATGAATGAGTAAACATAATGAGACATATCCACATATTATTTGGTAATAAAAAAGCAAAGTACAAATCTATGTACCAATATGAGTAAATGTAATCAGAAAGTTATCTAAGGCCATGTATCTCATGATTCTACTTATATGAAGTGTCTGGAGTAGAGTGCTTCTAGAGATAGGCGGTAGATTGTTATTGCCTGAGGCTAGAAGGTTTCAGAATAAATGTGGAGTAATTGCAGATGGGTGAGTGCAGGCCTCTTTTTTTGGATAGTGAAAATGCTCTAAAATAGACTTGGTATAATGTATCATTCCTTAAATACAATAGAAACCACTGCAGTAGTACTTTAAAGGGGAAATTGTATTGTATGCCAGTTACAAGAAAGGAAAAATGGAATTAAGAAGAAACAATGTTGGCTCAAACAGTAGAGAAGTATTTTCTGAGATAGATATAAATTTATATATTCAGTATGATAAAGCTGGATTGCTTAAAAATGAATTACACTTAAACAAATCCTTGTGAATTTTCTGCTTTTGAAGCTAAAAAACAAAGTCATATGAGCTTTGCCTTGCCTTGCCCCACCCCCAGAAAAAACTTACATGTAAAGAAAATATAACCAGGTCCTCAGCATCTCAGCTGCAGCATCACATGGAGAGATATTTAGGACTTATTGGAAGGAAAAGGTGCAGTAACTCAAATTTCAAACCTGAAGCATGGCTGCCGCCCTAGCCACCCAGGGCGTTGCTCCCGTTAGGCAGCATTCTTCCAGTAGAGGAACACTGTAACTTCCTTGCCTCTGTTCTGGAGCTTGGATCAGATTTCTAGGATTTAAAACTGTCCCCTCAAAAATCAAGTAGAAACAATCACCATTGCCACAGGGTTGAGGGGGGAGCTTTTCCAAGGTGTGGTTATGAAAGCTCCATGTTCATGAAGGAGCATGGGTAGCACTCAAGTGGGAGCTTGAAAAGCACAGCATCATGGGATGAATCCATAATCCTAGAACACAGGAGCTAGGAGCAGAAAGATCCTAAGTTCTGACCATCTTAGGTTACATAGTAAGACACCATATTCAAAAATAAACAAACAAACTTGTTTTAAAGACCAAACACAAGTCAAGTATCATGGTACAAGCCTTGTAATCCTAACACTGGGGAGGCTAAGGCAGAAAGATAAAGAGTTTGATGCCAGCCTGACTTGTCCATAGTGAGATTCATAAAACCAAAGTCTCAATCAGAGGAGGAACACATGCACAAAAACAGTCAAGTAAACTGCATAATCATTAGTAGTTTTTAATAACTTTCTAGTTTGTTTGTTTGAGACATAATTTCTCTGAGTAACCCTGGCTGTCGTAAACTTGCTCTGTAAACCAGGCTAGCCTCGAACTCAGAAATCTGCCTGCCTCTGCCTCCTAAGTACTGGGAATAAAAATGTGTGCCACCATGCCTCAGCTGATACCATTTAACATAAATGCTGAAAGTGTTAGAATATACAAAAAATATAAAAATCACAGTGTATTTGAAAGGAAAAAATATTGATAGTATCAGTCCCTAGGATGAAGAATTAACCCTATTCCCTGACCTGAATGTTATTCCCTGACTCCTCAGAGCTCCTGAGCAAAGGGCAAAACTGACCCCTGAAAGTTGGAAAGTTGTCTTTTGACTTCTCTGCACATGATCCATAGTCCGAGTGCCATGTAGCAGATACACACACACACACACACACACACAAATAAATAAATAAATAAATAAATAAATAAAATTAAAGGTTGAAAATAAAATTCAAGGGAATACAGACAAAAAGAAGCACAGAAGTCATTTTAAATCAGCTGCTGTCAATCCCAATGTTTACTTGTTGACCCAGTCACTAAGAATGCTGGGGCAGAAGAACACTCAGCCCAGAAGTTAGACACCTTGCTGGGTAACACAGGCAGAACTCTTCTTTCAGTTCTTTTTAAAATCAAAATGAAATGATGATTAACGGATAAGCACTAGGGTGAGGGTGGGATATGGCTCAATGGGAAAGCACCTTCCTAGTGTTTCCAAAGTCCTGGGTTAAAGTCCAGGGTTCAATGCCCAGCACTGCAAAAACCAAGCTTTAAGCATTAGGCAGTCACTGGACAACGACAGGGGGACTGGAGCCATTACAAGGTCCCCTTCAAGTACTAGAGGTCAGGCCTCTATCCCTGCCTTCGAAAGATTAGAATTGCCACAGCCCTTCTGTACTTAGAGAAGGGAGGAGATGTCAGGGGCAGCCCTGCTTACACACTGAAGGCCTAAAATCAGCCATAGGCCTAAAATCAGCAATAGGCCTGTCA